CTGAGGCAGGAGAATCACTTGAACCCGGGAGGTGAAGGTTGCAGAGAGCCGAGATTGCGCCACTGCCCTTCAACCTGGATGACTGAGACTCTGCCTCAAATACAATAAAATAAAAAAATAAGAAGCCCATTGGTAACCATCTTTGGGCAGACAGTCTTGCAGTTTTCTGTGATAAAGTCTAATTTGGCTTGCCATAGTTCACTGTACCCACAAAGTAATAACCTTGGCCTAACGGAACTGGTAAATGCTTAAACTATATATATTTCTGCACATTTGAGATCCCCTCTCACCCTTCAAGTGTGCCTCCGCCTTTTCAAGTTACATCAATAAGATGTAATTGGCATCTATCCTCAATCTTCATATCCTAACATTCACATTTTATTCTATTTTTCCTGCCTTCTGATTTAGAAAGATCCAAATGCTTTTAGATCCAAAGATAGAAGAGGAAGGTTAAAACAATTATTTGCAATAAGTACTCCTTCAGCTATTAATTTACTTATGCAATGGCTTTGTTTAATGTCTGCTGTATGCTAGGTACTCTGCTAGGGGCCTGGGATTCAAAGATAGCGGCCGGGCTCAGTTTCTCATGGCTGTAATCCCAACATTTTGGAGGCCGAGAAGTTTGAGACCACCCTAGACAACATGGAGAGACCCTGTCTTCACAAACACACAAAAATAGCCAGTGCCAGGAGCAGTAGTTCATGCCTGTCATCCCAGCACTTTGGGAGGCCAAGGTGGGAGGATCACTTGAGCCCAGGAGTTTGAGACCAGCCTAGGCAACATGGAGAAACCCTGTCTCTACAAAAAATAAAAATAAAAATAAATTAGCCGGGTGTGGCGGTGCACACCTGTAGTCCCAGCTTCCCAGGAAGCTGAGGTGGGAGGATGGCTTCAGCCCCGGGAAGTCAAGGCTGCAGTGAGCCATGATCGTGCCACTGTACTTTAGCCTAGGCAATACAGCAATACCCTGTCTAAAAAAAAAAAAAAAAGTTCTTGCCTTTATGGTGTACAGTGCAGTGGGACACAACTGTGAGTGCAGTAATTAATATACAGAATATTACAGAATTGCAAAAAAGAGGTACTTCCCCTATCCTAGCGGGGATGAAGGAAGGGCATAAAGTATAGTAATGACGATCTGTAATTCAGTTATTTAAATTGAACATGGGAGAGGATGTTCAGGACTTTTTAACTGGATAAGTTTGTAATTTGGGATAAAACACCCAATCACTTGGCTGGGCACAGTGGCTCACACCTGTAATCCAGCACTTTGGGAGGCTAAAGCGGGTGAATCACTTGAGGTCAGGAGTGCAAGACCAGCCTAGCCAACATAATGAGACCCTGTCTCTACTAAAAATACAAAAATTAGCCGGGCATGGTGGTGCGTGCCTGTAGTCCCAGCTACTCGGGAGGCTAAGGCATGAGAATTGCTTGAACCTGGGAGGTGGGAGGTTGCAGTGAGCTGAGATCGTGCCATTGCACTCCAGTCTGGGCAAGAGAGCAAGACCCTGTGTCAAAAAAACGATAACAACAACAACAACAACAACAAAAACCACTCAGTAACTCTAAAGTAAAATATGTCAACTTGTGACTAAGGATTCATGTGGAAGAAGAACAGGATCTGATATCATAACTGAATATCAAGGTTGTGGGGTTGGAACTAGAAGATGTCAGTTTTATTTTAAAATTTATTTATTTTTTGCATTTATTGGTTTTTGTTTGTTTTTTGACGGAGTCTTGCTCTGTTGCTCATGTTGGAGTGCAGGGGTTGCTAACTGCAACCTCTGCCTCTTGGGTTCGAGCAATTCTCCTGCCTCAGCCTCCCAAGTAGCTAAGGACTACAGGCACCTGCCACCACGCCCAGCTAATTTTTGTATTTTTAGTAGAGGGAGGGGTTCACATGTTGGTCAGTCTGGTCTCTAATTCCTGACCCTGTGATCCACCTGCCTCTGCCTCCCAAAGTGCTTACAAAGGGATTACAGGTGTGAGCCACCACACCCGGTAATTTCTTTCTTTTTTGTCCTTCTCTGCCTATATCACAGAATATCAAATATAAGAAGTGAAGTGCCTGCAATCACTTTTCTTTTTTTTTAACTCTTTTCTCTGACATAACCTCTGTCAAACTTGGGAATAAATAAAGGTACTATCACCAGACTAGGAGAAGATTAGCATTGCTTGAGGTTAGGATTTTAAAAATACAAAGCAGGCCAGGCGTGGTGGCTCATGCCTGTAATCCCAGTACTTTGGGACACTGAAGTGGGCAGATCACGAGGTCAGGAGATCGAGACCATCTTGGCTAACATGGTGAAACCCCATCTCTACTAAAAATACAAAAATAATAAGTTGGGTGTGGTGGCACATGCCTGTAATCTCAGCTACTTGGAAGGCTGAGGCAGGAGAATCGCTTGAACCCAAGAGGCGGAGGTTGCAGTGAGCCAAGATCGCACCACTGCACTCCAGCCTGGGTGACAGAGTGAGATTCTGTCACAAAAAAATATTAAAAAGTCACAGATTTGCAAGCACTGTCAACCTTTAAAAAAAGTTTACTCTTTACAACCCGTGGTCCCTTCCATTTTATAGCTGAGAGCATTGAAGCATGGAGCTTTAAAAACTTGCCCAAGATCTGAGAGCTAGTAAGTAGCAGAGCTGGGATTTGCACCAAGTCTATTCAATTCCAGTGCCTATTACTCACCATATCACCCTGCAAAAAGAGAAACCTTGTGTGGGCCTATTGCGCTCAAGTTGTCTTGTGGCCATAAGTGCACCCTTGCAGGAGCAAGCTGGTACAGACAACCAGAAGAGTGTATGGCCAGGCCAGTACAAAGCCAACACTGCTCCTGGGAAATCTGATAGTGCCATATTCAACTAATCGTCAAATTTTAATATCATGGATGCCACTGAATGTATCTGAATCATTCTCATGAATCTTTTGTACTATGAGACATTGAGAAGATAAGACAGTATTGAAATAAATATCTAGATTTAAATGAAGTATAAAATTTGAATGATTAGTAGAGGGAAGTAGAGGATAGTAAATATGTGTGAAAATAACGTAACAGTTAACTTTAGATATATTCGCTTTAAATACTGCATGTGCAGTATACCGATTTATATCCTCTTTAATATTAGAGTCTTTTTCATGTGCATGTGTGACATATTGTCCATTCACCAAGACTATAATCCCTGGGACCAATCATGTATTTTCTTTTAAAAAGAAATCAATATATTTTTTTTGGTTTCTTTTATTTTTTGAGACGGAGTTTCGCTCTTGTTACCCAGGCTGGAGTGCAATGGCGCAATCTCGGCTCACCGCAACCTCCGCCTCCTGGGTTCAGGCAATTCTCCTGCCTCAGCCTCCTGAGTAGCTGGGATTACAGGCACGCGCCACCATGCCCAGCTAATTTTTATCTTTAGTAGAGACGGGGTTTCACCATGTTGACCAGGATGGGCTCGATCTCTCGACCTCGTGATCCACCCGCCTCGGCCTCCCAAAGTGCTGGGATTACAGGCTTGAGCCACTGCGCCGGCCCAGAAATCAATATTAAAATAGGAAAGGCTATTTAAGTTTACTCTCAAGTAGTTTAATAAATTTGGGGGAATAAATTAGGTTATGGATACTTGTAAGCGATATAAAAAAATCAACACGATGTAGGTGATTTATTCCAACTTTGATATGTTACATTTGGAGGAATTGGCTGTTGGATTTAGAAGTGTACAAAATAGCATTAGAGATTAAAAAAAAAAAAAAAGGGAAGTCTGTTATAACTGAATAGGGGTGTGGTCTGCTCAGGCTAAAAGGAATAGATAGTAGTTTCATAAAGGACTGATATAAATGTAGAGGCTTCCGAACTGGCCACTCCAGCCAGCACGTTTTCTGTACAGACGTAAGTATGTCTATTAATACCAGCCAGCTTGGTGAGTGAGAGAAACCACAGCTTGTGGATTTGGGCACATGCACTCTCTGCCTGCATCTAATCCTTCGAGTAACCATATACCTACAATTCCTGTAATCCTAGAGCAGTTACATGGATGCACTAAGTGGTGTGATGGGAGGGAAAGATAGCACCACAAGGATTCGTTTGATTATAGCAGTAATCCACACCAAGTGCAACAAAACAGCCAGACAGTTTAGAATGTGGTCTCTAATGAACTCGCTCATTTCAGCAGGCCCTCGCGAACATTTCCTGCTCGAGGACCCCGTATCAAAACCAAGTGGCTGTTCTTTAATTACATGGAATAATCGTTTGATTTCCAGGAAGTTAAGACAGTGCTTTGTATTTAAATAAAAAGTTCCAGACATGCTGGGAAACCCGATCAAACCACGAAGAGGGGTGAAACGGAATGCCTGCTCCGTGGCTCCAGATTTCGGCTGCTCGGCGAGCCTGACGTGACGGCGTGTGAGCCCAGAAAAGGGGCATTTTAAACCCGGCTGGCTGGACCGTGTCAGTGTCTCACGGCAGCCCTGCCTTTGCAGAGACCTCAAGTGTAACGCGATCACGGAGCTCGGAGGGGCTCGAGGCTCGGCGGCTTCCGCCCCTCGGCACCAGCAGAGACCCTCGTTTTCGGGGGACAGGGTCCCACAGTGTCGCCCTCCCTTTTGCAGGGCCATGAAAAGCCTGGGGCCTCTGATCTCCACGGCTTTGGGCGTGAGTGTGGGGCCAGAAGGGGGGGGAGGCCTGTGGGTGTCTCTTTTGCCTGAGGAGTTAGGGACACTTGTGGAAAAGTCAGGCCCTTTTCGCCCCGGCGGCCGCTCCGGCGTGGGGCTGGCTTGGGTTAGACACATGCACACATACACCATAGAGCTCTGCTTTCCCGTAGCAGCTGCTGCCTCTGCCTCTGCCTCTCCCGCCTCAGCCTCTTTGCCCGGCATACACACACATTCAGATTTGCGCGCTGTTTCAATCCTTGATGACGTGTCCCCGGAGACAGCCAATAGCGGACGGGCTCTGGTCAGGACAATGGGAGGTATCGGACCAATGAGCGAGCCCCGTGAGTTGGCGGTAGCCAATAGGAGCCGCGCTGGCTGGAGAGTAATGTTACAGAGCGGAGAGAGTGAGGAGGCTGCGTCTGGCTCCCGCTCTCACAGCCATTGCAGTACATTGAGCTCCATAGAGACAGCGCCGGGGCAAGTGAGAGCCGGACGGGCACTGGGCGACTCTGTGCCTCGCTGAGGGTGAGTCTGGGGCAGCGCCGCGGCGGGGAGAACGCCTCCGGCAGCTTCCCAGCCCGCGCGGCGGCCGGATCCCCAGCGGCCGGGAGCCGGCGGGTCAGGATCCACACAAAGGCAAATGAGGGGGGACTGTGGGGGGAACTGCGCACGGAGCGAGCCTCTGCCCGGGCGCCGGGAACGCTGCCCCGCGCCGGAGCCCCAGCCCTCGGGCGGCCCGAGGCGCTGGAAGCCCCGCGCCCCGCGAGTTTCTACCCCCGGCGGCGTCCGCGCTGACTGGCGCAAAAAAAAAATTTTTTTTTCATCGAAAAAATTTCAAGCCGTGTTTCGGGCCCCCCGGCCGGGCGTTCGGGCGGGCGGCGTGCGCGGAGCGTGGCCGGGGCAGCGGGGCCGGCGCGGCTCGGCGGCGGCGGCGGGAGGGCAGCGGCGGCGCTTCCCCGGGCTGCATTGGCCGCCGCCGCAGCAAGCCGGGCGCCGGCGGGGAGCGCGGCCGGCGGGGCGGGCGGCGGGGCGGGCGGGGTGCCGCGGCGGGCGAAGGCGGCGCGGGGGCCCGGGGGCGGCGGTGCGGGCCCGGCCGGCCTCGGCCCGGGCGCGGCGGCGGCGGCGGCGGCGGCGGCCGGGCGGCGGGGGGAGCGGCGCCGCTGCGCTCGCTGGAACATGGCTGACTCGGGCCCGGCGCTGCTGGCTGAAGAGAAAACAAGGCGGGCGGGCGGGCGGGGGAGCTGGGCGCAGCAGTTCCGAGGCAACTTTTTTTTTCCTCTCTCTTTTCACAGCCCCGCGTTCTCCGTGCGGGGGCGGCGGGGCGCGCGGCCCGCGCGGAGGGAGACGGGGAGTGGCGGGCGGGTGGGCCCTCGGGCGGCCCCCTCCGCGGCGGGGGGAGGGGAGCGGCGCGGAGGGGAGGGCCCGGCCGCGCGCCCCCCGCCCCTCCCCCGGCCGTAATGGCCGAGTATGTGCGCCAGAGCGCGGCGCGCACCCCGCCCGCCGCCGCCGCCGCCGCCGCGCCCGCACCCTTGCACTCACACACTCACACACACACACATACACAAAGGGAAGGAGCCATATTCTCGCTCGCGCTCGCCCTCGCGGCGGCGGCGGCGGCGGCGGCGCAGGCGGAGAAGACGCGCAGCGGCCATTCCGTGCGCGCCGGCCCCGGCCGCCGCGGGCGGAGCCAGCCCCCATTTCGAGCGGGGCTTCTCCCTGCGCCGAGCCTGACAAAATGGGGGCGGCGGCGGCGCGGGCCTGCGGAGCCTGCCGGGCGCACGTGGCGGCCTCGGGCCTGGGAGCCGCGCCGCGTCTTCTCGGCCGCGCCGCCGCAGGCGAAGTTCTGGGCCGGGGGCCCGCCCCGCGCGGGAGTCACCCCAACTTTGACGGCTCCAAAATACACTTCCCTGGTGGGGGGAGGGGGCCACCGAGCCACGAGCAGGAGTGGCTTTTGTCCCTCATCCTTGTTTACTCAGAGAAACTTCAGACCGGACGTGTTTAGTCAGAGCAGAAATACATCTCAGGGCCAAACCGATAGGAAACGAGGCTGCCTCACGGTGGCACCGCCACCCCCTCCAGCCGTGTGCCGAGCTCCGGAGCTGGCTGCTGCTCCCTCCTTGGAGCAAAGTTTTATGCAGAGAGGGTGGTTTTAAAAACTTTCGGTGCACGGTGATTTTTTTTTTTAAAGGTCCCGTAAATTAGGAAGAGTAGACTCACTTACAGGCCCTTGTTTATTCCCTGTCTAGTGCAAATCCACGAATTGGCAGCATCTTTTCTGACCTTTGGTTTGGTTGGTTTAAAATGATGTTCTAGATTTTAAAATCGTTTAAGTGACCAGTTAGATACTCATTCAGAACAGACACAGGCTGATAGGGAATACTTTATTGTACGTGGGTATATCTTTGCGTCCAGACTTTTTTGAGATCACCCTGAAGGACCTTTTTTGTTTTGTTTTGTTTTTGCTTGGCATAGCCCCTGCAAGGAATTTAATCTCTCTTCCATATTCTTGTCTGATTTTACGGAGGTTGATGTCACTACTGTGTTAAATAACCAGTACCTTGGTTTTCAATTCCCTTCCTAAGTACTTGAAGCTTCTTACGTGTCATAATTTTCATTGCTAACATCAAATGTTTTTCTTATTTTTTAGAAAAATAACTAAACATGGGCAAAGGAGATCCTAAGAAGCCGAGAGGCAAAATGTCATCATACGCATTTTTTGTGCAAACTTGTCGGGAGGAGCATAAGAAGAAGCACCCAGATGCTTCAGTCAACTTCTCAGAGTTTTCTAAGAAGTGCTCAGAGAGGTGGAAGGTAAGAGGGCTTAAAGCATGCTAACAAGGTAATTAAAAGGCAATTTCCAAATGAGGATGAAAATAAAAGCCTAACTGGCGTTCACATAGCAAAATACATGGGTTTTGAGGATCATTTATTTACATTTTACAACTTAAATTTACAAATAATTCTTTCGTAGACCATGTCTGCTAAAGAGAAAGGAAAATTTGAAGATATGGCAAAGGCGGATAAGGCCCGTTATGAGAGAGAAATGAAAACCTATATTCCTCCTAAAGGGGAGACAAAAAAGAAGTTCAAGGATCCCAATGCACCCAAGAGGCCTCCGTGAGTATCTTGCCTGTTTTTATTTCCTGGACATGTTTTGCAGTAGAATCTGAGAGACATTTAGTAAGCATCTGTGTCAGCTTAGAGTGTAAGTGTACAATCAAAGTTTGTTAGCTAATACTTGTTCATGCAGGTTATATTTAAATAGTATACATAAAATTCCGGTTGGGTGGGAGTGTTCGTCCAAGCATTTGAGTTAGACACGGTCTCGTTTACCCAGTGTATCTCCTTTTGATCCTTTTATCTCCTGAAAAATACTCTTCTCTGAAGTAGTGTAATTGCAGAATGTTCATCTGGGGCCCTAGCTAGTATAAATTAAATAGTTGTAAGTTAAGCTTTGGTTGTGAAGGATATTTAGCGTATTATAGTATTTGCACTCTGTCCAGTGCATCATAGAAATTCACAGGCAGCTTTAAATAGCAGTGCAGAGTACGTTTGGTAGTATTTGTTTTTATGATCTGTTAACTCAAAATCCTAAAATTGAAGTTGTTTTTTTTTAGTTCGGCCTTTTTCCTCTTCTGCTCTGAGTATCGCCCAAAAATCAAAGGAGAACATCCTGGCCTGTCCATTGGTGATGTTGCGAAGAAACTGGGAGAGATGTGGAATAACACTGCTGCAGATGACAAGCAGCCTTATGAAAAGAAGGCTGCGAAGCTGAAGGAAAAATACGAAAAGGTAAGTATGGGTTTGCTTGGTAGAATGATGAAGAGGATGCCAGATGTTGTAGGATTGTACTTAGTTTGAGGTGTAACAAGCTTTTAGTGTAATAGCTACATTAAGTATGCTGTTGACATAAGTCCTTTCTCACCCTTCAAAGAATACAGAGGACCAAATAAATTGGGTTTACTTCATATGATTAGACGCGGACATAGGATATACGTTTAAGTTGGTTTTACCATTCCCCAGTGTCTTGAAGCCTATGAAAATGTTGGTAGTCACTTCAAGTCAAAAATGATTATTTTCAAATGGCTTGGCAAACAGTGCAAAAATAAGCTAGACAAAGTTAATATAGGCTCTATTTTTCTTAATCATATCCTAAAACACTTACTTTCCTTTAAGTACTCAAAAAAACCACATCACTGAGTTAAATTTCAAGTCTACTGATCTGTCCAGTAAATTAATAAGTTAAGGAAATCTGTAACTCTTAAATTGAAATATTAAGTACTTAAAAGTTAATTTTTAGCTTCTTTAGTTATTCTGAAGTGTCCATTTCTAGATGTTTCTGAATCTAATTGCATGTTTATTGACAAATTACTTTTTTTTTTTTTTTTTTAAAGACAGCTTCCTCTAAGGATTAGGGTCTGACAGTGTAAACCTGTAGAATGCTTTTTTGCATTCAGAAGGTGGCAGTGTCTACCCTTTAATCAAAGTCTCCACATTCTACTTTTAATAGAGTTAGGATGTGGTACATAATTGCACCTCAATGAGGCATAACTGCAAATATTAGACTGTAGCATTTCATGAGTTATAGATTGTTATGATCTCATGGTATTTTTATGTGCATTTATTGAAGTTCTGGTTATTTCTGGAGTTGCAGTGGATCTGCAGATACGTGGTATTTTGGTGTAACTAAAATCTTGATTTCGTTCATACAGTTTTGCCATGTTCTATTTCTTCCCTTAATGTTTTTTTCTTTCCTACTGTTTTCTTCTCCCTTTGCTTTGGAAGGATATTGCTGCATATCGAGCTAAAGGAAAGCCTGATGCAGCCAAAAAGGGAGTTGTCAAGGCTGAAAAAAGCAAGAAAAAGAAGGAGGAGGAGGAGGATGAGGAAGATGAAGAGGACGAGGAGGAAGAGGAAGATGAAGATGATGAAGATGAAGAAGAAGATGATGATGATGAATAAGTTGGTTCTAGCGCAGTTTTGTTTCTTGTCTATAAAGCATTTAACCCCCCTGTACACAACTCACTCCTTTTAAAGAAAAAAATTGAAATGTAAGGCTGTGTAAGATTTGTTTTTAAACTGTACAGTGTCTTTTTTTGTATAGTTAACACACTACCGAATGTGTCTTTAGATAGCCCTGTCCTGGTGGTATTTTCAATAGCCACTAACCTTGCCTGGTACAGTATGGGGGTTGTAAATTGGCATGGAAATTTAAAGCAGGTTCTTGTTGGTGCACAGCACAAATTAGTTATATATGGGGATGGTAGTTTTTTCATCTTCAGTTGTCTCTGATGCAGCTTATACGAAATAATTGTTGTTCTGTTAACTGAATACCACTCTGTAATTGCAAAAAAAAAAAAAAAAAAGTTGCAGCTGTTTTGTTGACATTCTGAATGCTTCTAAGTAAATACAATTTTTTTTATTAGTATTGTTGTCCTTTTCATAGGTCTGAAATTTTTCTTCTTGAGGGGAAGCTAGTCTTTTTGCTTTTGCCCATTTTGAATCACATGAATTATTACAGTGTTTATCCTTTCATATAGTTAGTTAATAAAAAGCTTTTGTCTACACACCCTGCATATCATAATGGGGGTAAAGAAGTTGAGATAGTTTTCATCCATAACTAAAAATCCAAAATCTTGATCAGTTAAGAAATTTCACATAGCCCATTTATATTTATAATCTAAAGAGTAATCGATCTACTCACAGCATGGGACTATTAGAATCAAACATTTTGAAAGTCTGTCCTTGAAGGACTAATAGAAAAGTATGTTCTAACCTTACATGAGGACTTTATTCTTTAACTCCCATTACCATGTAATGGCAGTTATATTTTGCAGTTCCCACATTAAAGAAGACCTGAGAATGTATCCCCAAAAGCGTGAGCTTAAAATACAAGACTGCCGTATTAAATTTTTTGTTGACATTAGTCTCAGTGAAGACTGAAAATGCTGGCTATACGTGTGTTTTCCCATTAAATATGGACTGCTCAGGAAACGAGACTTTCCATTAAAAGTATTTTTAATTCATTGGGCCAGCTTTTAAAATGAAGATCCCACATTGAGAATAGGGTATATTTTCTGTATTAGGGTTTGCCCCTTTATAAATCCAAGTAGATAGGAGGAAAGAAAACACTTAAACTTTGCATCTCAGTATGAAGTACTCAATTTATTTGGATGATTTTTCTTTAAAACCCAAACTCATTCATTAGTCATGTTTATCTGCTTACCAGTTTAGGGAACAATTTGGCAATTTTGTGGTTTTTGAGATTATCGTTTATTCTTAAAGTGCCAGTATTTTAAAATAGCGTTCTTGTAATTTTACACGCTTTTGTGATGGAGTGCTGTTTTGTTATATAATTTTGACTTGGATTCTTTCCATTTGCATTTGTTTATGTAATTTCAGGAGGAATACTGAACATCTGAGTCCTGGATGATACTAATAAACTAATAATTGCAGAGGTTTTAAACATTAGTTAAATGGCTTTCACTTAAGAATATTAAGATTTTATTATATATTTTTAAGTCGTCTAATACCTCTTAGCAGTACCTTTTAAATAAGTGTAAGCACTGGCAAAGTTTTTCCCTTTAAAAATACTCATTTTATGCTTATAAATAGGTTAATGGGCTGATAAAAGGTTTTGTCAAACATTGCAAGTACTCTTGGTGCTATATATAAATGAGGAAAAGCTAATTTTACTTTTATAATGATTTAAACAAGATTTTTAAAAAGATAATGTAAGTGAATAGGGTTCATGATAGGCAGCAATTGTGTCAACATCAGATTTTTTTTTGTCATGGGGAAACAAATGACAATCTGATTTAGCTGAAAGTTTCTACTCTAGAAATCACCACTGTCAACATTAGTTAATTCTGATCCATTTAAAATGAATTCTGGCTCAGGAAGACTTCATAACTTTAGTAGGTACATTATGACAACTACCATTTTTTTAAGATGTTGAGAATGGGAACAAAGTTTTTTAGGGTTAATTCTCAAACTGACCACAGATTTTAAGAAAATGGACAAAACCCTCTTTAATCTGAAGACTAGTATGGTTTGGTGTTCCAACAGTATCCCCTAGAAGTTGGATGTCTAAAACTCAAGTAAATGGAAAGGGGAGGCAATTATAAAGTGTATAGGAACTATTTTTGTGCTAAGATAGAGTGCTGTGGGTTGTAAAGACTTGACATCAACAAAAGATAAAACAATCTATAATTAGTTGGGCCAGCTTTTTAAATGAAGATGCTTTTTAAAACTAAGCTATATAAATCAGTTTTTGTTTTTGTTTTTTTTTCATTCGAAAGATTGGCATATGGCATATTGATTAACTAGAGTCAAATTTCCTAACTTTGCTGTGCAAAGGTTGAGAGCTATTGCTGATTAGTTACCACAGTTCTGATGATCGTCACATCACAGTATTATTCTTTGCTGTATTTGTTAATTTTCTTAAAGTGAAATCTGAAAAATGGAAATTTGCATGTCCTGTGTACTCCAGAGGTAATGATTAAATGATAAAGATAGGAAAAGTGTCCATGTGACACAAACTGCTGTTCAACAGGTATTTCCCTTGCTATCCAAAGAATTGTAACCATTGCTCAGACACTAGGATTTGACTATGCTGAAAACCACAGAAGAGACAACAGTGGCTTTTGAGTGAAAAGCATGGCCACTACCTTGCTTGGCATTCCATAGTCCTTGGTGAAAGTTCACATTTAGGTCTGCTTGATTCAACACACCTCCTGAAAGGGTCTGATAGCTTTCAGTACCAGTCAAGACACTTCTGCATATGATGGTAAGGTATCTGCAAATTTGTACACACCAAACACAGCAAGTCTTTGAATTAACTTGCTAAAATGTGAGCCATTGGCTACTAATTAAGTTGTCTTATTAGGGAGTATGATAATATTTGAATTTATTTTTTATATTCGTGCTTTGTATCACTCTCAAATGACCCTTGAAATGCCTTTTCAAACTAGATAAAAGCTAGAAAATGATTTGATTGGCTCTCTAGCAAAAGATGGAAGGTGGTTCATTTTCTTGTCCTCTTTTAATACCAAGGCAGTTCTAACACTTGCCACAACTTGGGAAATTCCCTGGGTCTACACCAAATTGCTCCCAGAGTAATGAGGCAAAATGTTACTCTGTTCTAGGATTGCTGCTGTTTCGCAATACAGCATGACAGAAACACCATACAACATGGAATGACACAAGCATAATATGCCACACTCCAGAATATGTAATGCTCATCTTCCAGGGGGTTTCAGTCTAAGACAAAAATCTCTACCAGGAAGAAATGATAGATGTCTTTAGGCACATCCATTGATTTGGACCTTCTAATTGAATTTTTACTTATTTTGGCACGGGGTCTTGCTATGTTGCCCAGGTTGGTCTCCCAATCTGCTCAGTCCTCGCACCTCAGTCTTCCGAGTAGTGGGGATTACAGGGACATACCACTGCTTAAATAGTTGAATTTATTGGGCATCCACTGAAAAGGAAGTAGGAATAAAATCTGCAATAATAAGAATAAACCTGTAAGTGAGCATGAGCAATGGTGGGCAAGGGTATGCAGTCTCTGGAATCCAGACGTAGAAAATCAGTGGAAAGCTAGGCACAGTGGCTCACACTTACAATCCCAACACTTTGGGAGGCCGAGGTAGAAGAATTACTTGAGGTCAGGAGTTTGACACCAACCTGGGCAACATAGTGAGACCTCATCTACTAAAAATAAATAATTTGTGGATATACTATCATTTTAAAATCAGTAGAAAAGGGATTAGAGAGATCCCTATAAATTATGTACTCATTCATTTTTCTCTAGTCACATAATTCAGTCGTGTAAGTGACATTCCACAGTATGGTGCTCCATGATACATATATTTTCTTTTTTCGATCTCACTAGTATATGATCCACAATATTTTTTATGATTCCCTTACAGATGGACATTTAGGTTGTTTCCTATTGTTGGCTATTTAACAGGACTGCGCTGAACATCTGCACATTTCTCTCAGGCACGTGTGGGTCTTCAGGTACCTCAAAAGTAGAACTGCTGAGTCAAAAGACATTTGCAGTTAACATTTTGGCAGATACTGATAAATTGCTCCCTTTACCCAGCAAAAGCTGTATTTATGCTGTGAAACATTTTAACAATGATTTTTCAATGAATCAAGACTTTTACTGGTTTTCTTTAGCTCCATGAGATAACTTCATTTTTAAAAAACGAGAAATTAAAACATTGAAATACTGTCGTTTGTCCAGAGCTACCTGACCAGAATAAGAAACAGGCAGAATCAACTGAACGACTCTAAGGACAAACCACTGCTTTATTTAAACTGCTAAACTATTTCTCAAACTCCTGCCCTCAACCTATCCTCCCTCCCTCCTCAGCCTTGTTGCTGAGATTACAGGTGTGAGCCACAGTGCCCAGCCTAAACTGCTGAACTATTTCTCTAAATAAGGGATCCACTGTGCGAAAATGACGAGGGTCTTTCCCGTTTTGATATGCTCTATCCTAACTGGAAGCATGTGGTAGTTTTTTTGTTTTATTCTGGGGAGGGGTCTTTTTTTTTTTTTTTTTTTTTTGAGACGGAGTTCCGCTCTTGTTACCCAGGCTGGAGTGCAATGGCGCGATCTCGGCTCACCGCAACCTCCGCCTCCTGGGTTCAAGCAATTCTCCTGCCTCAGCCTCCTGAGTAGCTGGGATTACAGGCATGTGCCACCATGCCCAGCTAATTTTTTGTATTTTTAGTAGAGACGGGGTTTCACCATGTTGACCAGGATGGTCTCGATCTCTCGACCTCGTGATCCACCCGCCTCGGCCTCCCAAAGTGCTGGGATTACAGGCTTGAGCCACCGCGCCCGGCGGGAGGGGTCTTTTCTAGCAGAGATTGTATGTCAATCTTATAGAAGCCGCAGCCACCAGTCTTAGAAAAGCAAGTCTGGCTATAAAGTGTGGCAAAAGGATAAGAAATGTGTGGCCCAGATTCTAGGTATTAGGAGACAGGTATTTGGAAACGCAGAATGAATTCTGAGCATTTGCCTTAAATGAAATAAAGTTCACCAATTCCTTGCTGGAGATGGTACTTGATGGTAAAGGACACACTCCAAATGTGCTTATAAACAAAACTGTATTTACATGCTTAAAGTGAAATTAAGCTTAGTTCCTTAGAATTACATAGACTCTCTCGTTAGAGGCTTTACCACATTTTGTTTGTTAGCTTTTGCTTTTTGGGTTTTTTCTCCCTTCTCTTCACAGGTGTTCACTGTACCATAGTTTTGTTTATTGGGTTTCAATTAGAGATTATTTATAAAGTGTTCTGAAAATCACCAAGAGAATAAAAAGCCCTAAAATAAGGAGTGTGAGAGAGTGCTCCTAAAGATAAAGAAAAGCAAGATGCTCAGTTGCCACAGTCCTAAGGTGCCACTGTAATCCCCGGAAGAGATGAAGAGTGAGAACTTGGAGGCTACTTAAAACGAAGATATTGTAGCTCCCCACCCCTACACCGCAGCCTCCACTTCCCCAGGATTCACTCTGCCATCTGGAATCAGCCTGGCTGGGGCTCGGGCACAGGGAATGGGGCTCAGAAGCAGAGAGGCTGACTGGAGAGCCTCTTTCCAGGGAGGGACAGAATAAGGCATAGCACCAGTGTAGGGTCCTAGCATATCAGAGGAGAAGGGGTTCTCAGGGCCACTGCCATCTAATCTGTGCATTGTTACAGAGTGGTGGACAGAGGCCCATAGGGATTCAGAGGCTTGCTCAAGGACAAACGGCAGTATCAAAACACTCTAGCAGCACCAGGCTCACGGCAGATGCAAAAAAGATGGGAGCTCTTTCCCCTTCCCTTAAGTATAGCCGCAAAGAGGCTGGAAAGCTTCCTCATTGCCCCTCACTTCCAGGCCTGGGTTCTCTTTCTATGGCTACAATCGTTACTATGCTAGGAAAGCCAGTGCATTCTGCCATCACTGAGGTTCTTCTCTGGCTTTCTCCTTTGAGTTTGCATGGACAGAACATTTCTGAACTGAACCGAACCAAACCAAACCAAAATACTCCCCGTCATGTAGAAAGTTACAGGCTATCTGATTCTAAAGGGCTGGTATTCACCAAAAGAATGGATGTTGCTTAGGACTGTAGCCTGATCTTCTGGAAGCAGAAGGAAGAAGCAATACACTACACACGATGACAATTTCTTTGAAAAACAGGTTGCCCTTATTATGAATGAAACTTACATTATTGAAACAAAATAAGAAAACAAAAATCTATAATTCTACCAGTCAGCAAGACTATTACCACATTATGTGCCCTTCCAGTTTCTATATATAACATGTATTATATATATATATGTGTGTGTGTGTGTGTGTGTGTGTGTGTTTTAAAAATTGAGGCGAAGCTCCCGTAACATAAAATTAACCTTTTAAAGTGAACAATTCAGTAGCATTTAGTACATTCACAATGCTCTGCAACCATCACCTCT